TTTAATTTATTTTTTAATATTTTTATTTCCATTCTATTTTTATTTGTAATATTTAAATTAAATATTTTGCTATAAAATGGTATTTTTTAAATTTTATTTTTATTTTTTTTTTTTATTATTATATTTAATATTTTATAAGTTAGTCAATGTGTATTATATTTATTAAATATATCTTTATAGAGACAATAATTAATGGGTACACACACACACACACACAAAAAAAAAAAAAAAAAAAAAAAAATATATATATATATATATATATATATATATATATATATATATATATATATATATATATATATATATATACCATTCATACATATATTGCAGATTTTTCATTCAATTTGTCTGAAACTTATCAAAGAATGCCTAATTCTTCAACAATAGTACCTTTTGCTGCAGCAGAAAATTCAGGTACGTATCCATTGTTCGCAGTGGTAATATTATACTTATATATGTTATAGAAATAGAAGACCCTAAAAAAAAAGGTGTTTATATGTTATGATTTAATGTTGATTAGCAATTAGATTCTTTAGCAGTAAGCATTTATAGGAGTATGCAAAACTATTTTGAGAGGGTTAGAACAAATTAAAGAAACACAAAAATTTCACTCTAAGATGATTCAGAATTTATTGCAACGGTTTAACATAGAAAGAGACATAGCATCAGTGGAGCTACCAGAAGGTTTAACATTTCCTGTAACAACAATGGAAGAACTGGATAAGGCTCTTGAAATATTAGCTAATGTTACTACTCAAAGGATTTTGGTAATTGTTTACTCAGACCTATTTTGTATAAATTTTCATATACTTTATCAAAATTATGTACTTTATTATTTAGTAATAATAAATTTTCATTTAGTTTAATTTTGCAATATTTAATCTTATTATAGGTTCATATTCTTTTTGAAAATGGTGGGCAAGATATTTCAGAATTTGTTAATCGAAATATGACTTATCTTATTGGAAATGTATTGGCCAGACAGCTAAATTTGACCGGCCAAAAAAATAAGCGTGGATTTATTAAAACCATTTTGTACAACATTCTTTATAGTATGCTAGAATTTAGTATTTTTGAATTAACATATTTTATTTTACATTTGAATTTACATATTTTATTTTAATTCAAATAAAAATTTGAAAATATTTTTTTACAATAGCTTCCATAAAAATAAATACATCTACAAAAGAGTGTACAAAAAAACAGCTTGAGGAGGCTCTTTCAAAATGGTTTGAAAATGCTCGTGACAGAGGTATAGGTCGAAGACGGCGCTTAGATGTCGTTAATCATTTGGAAGAAAGTTTTTAAATAATTCTTAATCCTATCTTAAACGAATATGTTATATTTTATAGTAGTTTTTTTATTAAATATTTTAGTTATTGTATAAAAAAAGAGTTTCTTTTTTCAGTGTTGTTTTTAAGTTTCTGAATTTTTTTTATCATATATACATACATATAAAACCTATGGTTTTCAAAAAAGTTATAAAAAGTTTTTTGATAATAATTCTTTAAATATTTTTTCAAATAAGAAATTATTTTTTTGAAATTTTTATTTATAAGTTCCAGGTTGAAATTTTTTTTTCAATGATATTAGGGACTCACTCAATTATATATATACTTATATATATATATATGTATACTTATATATATATATATATATATATATATATATATATATATATATATATATATATATATATATATATATATATATATATATATATATATATATATATATATATATATATATATATATATATATATTGTATATATATATTGCTGTTAAATTTGTTATAATAAGTTATAGTTGATATTTGTTAGAAGTTTGTTTATAGTTTATTTTAATTTACTAGAATGACTTCTGAAAGATCTAAACGTAGAAAAATAGCTGAAGTGGTATCAAAACTTTTTCAAGAATCTTCAACTTTAAATATACAGAATCAGGATGTTTATCCATATAGTAGCAATATGTTTTTTGATTCTTCATATTTACATGGAATAAGAGAACAAGTTGACAGTAATTTGGAACCTAACGAATTTTTAACTAATTCTAATTATTCTGATAATAGTTTAGCTGTTATGGAGACTGAAATTAGTGAAATAGAAAGTAACAAAAACACTATTGAATTACTTACAGATGATAGTAATGAATGGTCTCCTGAGTCATTTATTTCTGATGATTATAAGAGTGATGAAAGTAATGACAGCGAAAAATTGCCTCATAAACTTGCTAATTGGGCATTAAGCTTCAATATAACACATGCTGCTTTGAACAGTTTGTTACCTTTATAAAGAGAATATGGGTTAAGTTTGCCTAAAGATTCAAGAACACTTCTTCACACCCCCCAAAATATAGATACAAAAATTGTCGCGGGCGGAGAGTATTACTATTTCAGCATGCAGTATTGGCTTTTAATAATGTTTAAAAACAATTCAATAGAATCAAACAACAACCAACTTACCATTCACATTAACATTGATGGTATACCTATATTCACCAGTTCCAGTACTTCTCTTTGGCCAATTTTAGGTACTCTTATTGAAGCTGGAGCAATAGTATTTCCAATAGCAATTTATTGTGGTGACAAAAAACCAAATTCTATTCATGAATATCTAGAAGATTTTTTGGTTGAGATTAAAGCTCTTACTGAAAATGGTTTTACCCATGAAAATGTAAAGTATGATGTAAAGCTTGCTGCAATTATATGTGATGCACCAGCAAGAGCATTTGTGAAATGTATAAAGGGTCACAATGGTTATAATTGTTGTGAGCGTTGTGTTCAAAAAGGAGAGTGGTGTGGCAAAATAATCCTTCCGCATACATCAGCAACTTTAAGGACTGATTCAGATTTTCGTTATCAAAATAGTTTGGAACATCATATTGGTGTGTCTCCTTTAATTGAGTTAGGTTTTGACATGGTATCAAAATTTCCTTTAGATTATATGCACCTAGTATGTCTAGGGGTTGTGCGAAGAATCATCAACTTATGGTTAAATGGTCCCAGATCATGTAAGTTGTCGCAAAACACTGTAAATATTTTATCTGATAGATTTTTCCAGATACGTTGTTATATTCCAAAGGAATTTTCTAGGAAACCAAGGTCTTTATCAGATTTTCGGCATTGGAAAGCCACTGAACTTAGACTTTTTCTAATATATACTGGACCAGTTGTTTTAAAGGGATTACTTGAGCCAAAATTTTATTCAAACTTTTTAGATCTTTCAGTTGCAATTCGTATTTTATTATGTCCTATTTTGTTGAAAAACTATATTGGTTTAGCTCGTCAGTTACTTACTTATTTTGTGCAGTCGTTTGGTAAACTTTATGGTAAAGATCAGTTAGTTTATAATGTCCATTCTTTGATACATCTAGCAGATGATGCAGTTAACTTTGGAGTTTTGGATAAGTGCTCCTCATTCAAATATGAAAATTATCTGGGTCAATTAAAAAAGCTTGTTCATAGGCCACAACAACCATGTTCACAAATTGTTAGGAGAATTTTCGAGGGCTGTTTGAAGGAAGATAGACATCATATTCATCAGCTGAAATTTAGCATCCAGCATGTTGATGGACCAATAACCATTGCATTGAGACATTGTTTGCAGTTTAAAAATTACCAAGGTTTTAAGTGTTTTGTTTCTGCTACTGATGGAAATAACTGCTTTGAAGTTGCAAAAAAAATTGGTTTAGTTAGAAATGTTATACAAATAAAAACAGGCGAATCTTGTGATGGATTGGTTATGTTTGAAGAATTTGCAGCTCTTGAATCATTTTTCACAGATCCACTTTCTTCCAATAATTTGTCGATATTTTATGCAAGCAAAATGACTGGTATTAATAAAATTTACCCACTATCAGACATCAATATTAAGTATTTACAAATACCATACAAAAGTGGCTTTATTGTTATGCGTCAACTACATTTGTGAATTATAAATACTTTTTATTTTCTAAAACTTATAACCTCTTTATATTATATTATGCATTTATATTATAATAAAATTTTCTAGAAAGTCAAGTGATTATTTTTTAATCTTTTTTTTAACATATGTTGTATATCTAATTATATATGTAAACAAATAAATTTAAAAATATATATATATATATATATATATATATATATATATATATATATATATATATATATATATATATACGCTATGCTAATTTATTTATAAGTAACTAAAGAAAAAGTCTAAGAAATCTCAATTTATTACATATCTGCGCTTTTTATTTATTTACATTAGTCATTATATTTATATTATTTATTTATCTTAGTTATACATCCTAATTTATCCTAATTTATTTTAATTAAGTTATAATAATTAGTATAACAAGTTTAACTCCATTTTTATTTTGTGTCATTTTTTTAATTTTCTTTAGAAAATGTCAGTTATCATTTTCTTATGTTATTAAGGTATTTTGCATTTTTTATTTAAGAATATTTCTGATTATTTGCAATAGGTTCACATTGGCTGTTGGCAATATTTGTCTAGTGGTGTGAGTTGACTACAGAACGTCTCCAATTTTAGTTAATGACTCCAATTAAATAAACTCCTTTAATGGCAGGTTAGTAAATATAATAGTAATAATAATGATAAGTAGTCTTGTTTATTAGAATTAATGAATGACTCTTGTATAGAATTTTTTGACTTAATGGTTAGTGAGTATACTCCCTTTAATTATTAAACACAATTTTAATATTGTGAGAAAATACTTTTTTTTTTAAATCTGAAAAAAATTTTAAAATATGCAATTTAAAAGAAGATGTTGATTTAAAATATAAACGATGGGTTGCTTGTAAAATTCAACTCAAAGCAGTTTAATTTTTATTTTTTCACAGGTCTTATTGAAAAAGATATTGTATGAAGAAAAAAGTGCTTAAAGAAGTGGTTTTCACAAAGATTTTAATTCATGATTACGATACGATTCACGATTAAAGAATAAAAATGTAATTTTAATGTGCTTTTTGTTTGAAATAAATAAGCATATAATATGAATTCTCTTATATTTATTAAACCCATATGGGCCCTGTATAGAAACCGCGGCCAAAATCCGGCGAGATCCCGGAGGGCTTTCCCATATGGGTCCCAGTTGTAAATCTATACGGGACCCTTATGGTTTAAAAATGCGGGATCTTAATTGGACCCACACGGGTTTCCCGGCGGGCAAACCAATATGGGCCCCGGATGGAAACCGCGGCCAAAAACCAGCGGGACCCCGGAGGGCTACCCATATGGGCCCCAGTTGATGACCCATACGGGTCCCGCATGGTACCCGTACCACAATGCTGGCTGGGTACTATCTATATAAATTATGCAAATATTGTTTCGGGAAGTACTTCTAAAAGTAAGTTACGAAATCTCTACCATCGTCATAAACACGCAATGTGTTTAATATTTTTTAAAATCGTTTTTCTCCTTTAAATATTTTATCTAAAAACGTTAAAGCATTTAAAGTTTACGAACTCATTATTTATAATATTTTATAGTTAATGTTTTGTTGTAAAATTGAACAACTTCCAGCCAACATTGACAGACGGGTACCGTATGGTTTTTGTCTGAACGGGATTTTGACGGGTAAGTGTTTTGGTTTCCAGACGGGTCCCATATGGTAATAAAATCAAGCATATTTGCTCGTTAGGGTTTTATCTGGTTTTTATCAGGACCGAATACCCTGGGGAATCGACGGGTTTTCCATAAGGTTCCCAAAAGGTTTTAAAAAAATCATAACATAACTTACTCGATGGTTGTCATTTTTAATTCGTATTGTGCGTGAAATAAGATTAAAAATTTAACTTTTATGCATTACATTTTTTGGATACATTATATTTACATTGTAATTAAAAAGAATATTTTTTTGATGTGTTTTGTCACTGTAAAACTCAGTTAAAAAGACGTTATTTTAAAATTTCATTTATTTATTATCATTATAAAAGAATTTTTATATATACATATATATACATATACACTATTTTTTAAATGAATTTACAAAGTTCAAGATATTTGTTGAACATATGTTCCTGAAACTATTAAACATGTAGTAAATGTTCCATTGAGACACTGTTTGCATTTTTAAAATGATCAAAATATAAAGTTTTGTTTCTGCTAGTCACTAGCAGAAACAAAACTTTTTTTTTAAAAAATATTTTGATCATTTTAAAAATGCAAACAGTGCAAACTAGCAGCTAGTGATATAATTAGATAATAAATGGTTTGAGTTTAATCAAAATAATAGCTTAGTCAGAAACATTTAAAAAGAGCAAACAGACGAATAGAATGTAATGGATAGGTTATATTTAGGGAGTTAAAAGCTTTTAAATCGTTTTTACAGATCCACTCTTTTCCATTGATTTTTTTATATTTTATGCAAGCAAAATGACTGATGTTAACGAAGTTTACCCACCGTCAGATATAAATAAAGATATAATTAGATGTTTAAATGCAAAAATATAGCTTTATTGTTATGCATCAACCTCATTTTTTAATCATTGATATTTTTTGATTTTGATTTAAAATTGTAGACTTGCAATATAAACAATAATTTCATAATATACATAATAATAACTTATACTTACAATACCTATACTTGTAAATACTTGTAATATAATACTTATGTTTATAATACTGATAAAAATTTTTATTGATATAAACTTTTGCATTCAAACTTTAGTTATAAAACTTTAGTTTAACTTAATAACTTTTACATAAATAACAATAACTAAAAAAAGATGTTAGTTATTATGTAGATTATAACCATATGCTTATTTATTATAATTGAGTTACAGTAAGTTAAACAATATAAAATGTTAAGTTCCAGGCAATAGGTCTTATATGATATGTATCTTATGTATATCTTGTATTTTGCAGCATGTTAAAGAATATTTCTGCATGGTGCACTCTGACTGTTGATATTATTTGCATATTGATATGAGTAAAAGTGACTTCACCAACCAGAATGTGTTTTTGATAAATAATAATAATAACAGGTTAGTAAATATAATTATAGAAATAATGGCAATAACTTTTTATTATTAGAATTTTAATATTACCGTTGTTTATAACCTCGATAAGAGTCATGTAAGTAAATATTATTTTTATCTAAAGAATATTCGGCAAAAGTCAGTATTTCCTAAGTATTAAATATTATACAAAAACATGTGTTTAAAAAAAAAATTTTAAATGTATCATAAAATAAAAATATAAGTATTTGAGTATAAAAAAAAACACATTTATTTTTATAATGTATATACATCACATTGACTATGTTGTCTATAAAGTAGGGGTTGCAGCTGATATTTCAGCTTCAGCTATAAACTCATTAGCTTCAGATTAATGCTGAAGCTGATCAAGTCACTTTAATCATCTTGATAGCTGATAGTAAAAGAGAATAATACTCTATAAATAATTTATGTAAAATATATTTTTATATAGGAATTTATTCAATGAAAATCTAAAATAGTGACAAAAATTAAACATACATGTAAATTTTAAATAAAATTTGCCAAAAGTTATTGCTATTTATAAATGTTGCCATCAGAGCCTAGGCCTAGGACTTACAATATTAGGGGACCCAAATTATATTTTTTAGAAATTTGTTAAAAAAGTGGTGCCGAAAAATCTAATTCCATTTTTGATTATCTTAAGGGGACCAACTATCTTTTGTTCAAAAAGAGTACACTTTGCAAGTATTTCATAGGTAAAAAAAAAAAGGTAGATAAAACGATAAAACTTTATTTTTTTTTTTAAACATATTTTTCGTCAGAGTGGATTTTTTTTGCTAGATGAGGATGTTCGTCTAATAATGTAGCTGCATCCAAACATATTAAATTTCATATTAAATTTGACTGTTAAGACGGCATATAATGTTTTTACAGAAAGTTGCAACTTCTCACTGCTCCAATAATCATTCCTTAGTGAAAATATCTTTTCAACAGCAGCATTAGTGCCTGGACAACATAAAGAAATTTCTGTTAAAACTTTTATGTGGGATATGTTCTACTCAAAAATGCGGAAAGATTTCTACCCATCTTTTTTCAAGTTCTATTTTCTCATTGTTTCATTTCTTCAATTTTTCTTCATTTAAAAATAAATTTACTCTTCCAATTTCTTCAAAAAGAAAATTGTCATTAATAAAAATATCTTTTACTTCCTTTATTAAAAATTCAACTGCTGAAGAAACTTTTTTCCATTAAACTTTACTATTTATAAGGGCCCATTTAAAACAATTCAATGCTCTAAAGTTCATTATCCATTCTTCGATATATTCATAGCAAATTTTATAAAAATTTTTAACTTCTTTAAAAAATTTTTTTTTTCCGGGATTGGAATCTTCCAAAGCAGTCAGTTTATAGGCTTTAATATAGCCTTTAATATTGTATATAGTAGTGTATGTATATATTTTTTTATTTAAATTTGCCTTTAATTTGTTTTTTTATACTTTTCTGCAAAAAAAAATTTTTCTCACTTTATCCTTATGAACTTATGTATTTTATATTTTTGTGTTAATTCCAACATTTTAAGTAGTATTGTTCCTTATACCTCTTTTTTTATTACTTGTATTAATGCAGTTTTCTTTCTTTCTTATTATTTTTTATTTTATTTGTTTATTTTATGAAGGTGTCGCTCCATTGACTTGTTTTTAATATGAGTGACACCGAACATAAATTTGTAAATTATAATTAAGTTTGTAATTTTTGATTTTATGGTTAATTAACCATAAGCGCATGCGTAGTATGTACAGTAAGAATTTTGTTATCCTTTTATTTAATTAAATAAATGGATAAAAAACTTTGCTGTACATACTACGCATGCCTCAAGACTGTCAAGCATGGCGTACATACTGCACATCAAATATCAGCCTGGGGATTACATATGCAAATGTTGGATCCATCTCTTTTCACAAATGTAATTTTGACATTGTTTGAAAAAGATGTCTGTAGTATCTCTCCAGGTTCATAATATGGCCTCTCAGTTATGTTGAAAATGGCAGCCATATGTGCGTTCAAAATTTAAATCACTGTCAAACTTGTATCTGGTGTTTGCCCTGTCCTCTGACGTGCTGGAAACGGCTAGCAATATGTGCGCATGAAATTCAAATCACTGTCAAAATAATTTTAAATATTTGATTAATAAAATTGAAATGAAATAATATTAAAAAAATGTTTTAGAAATACAAATGAGTACAAAATTATACAAATGAGTACTTTCAGAGTACAGGATTTGAAAAAAGTACGGTTTGTGAAAAAAGAGTAAAAAAACTCAGTAAATGAGAATAGCAGGTCACCTTAATTGTCTACATAATTTTTTGGTAGATTTCAAAGTTCTTGCAAAAGATGGTTTTATCTATGAAAATATTGAGTTTAAAATCAATCTTGCTGTTATCATATGTGATGCACCAGCTAGAGCATTTGTAAAGTGTATTAAAGAACACAATGGTTATAACTGATGTGAATGTTGTGCTTAGAAAGGAGAGTGGTGTGGCAAGATAATTCTCCTACATATTTCACTAATTTTAAGCACTGATTCAGATTTTTTGTCATTAAAAGCATTCTGAACATCATAGTGGTGTGTTAAATTGAATTAAATTTTGACATGGTGACTAAGTTTCCTTTAGACTTAATGCATTTAGTATGCTTAGAGGTAATGCGAAGATTTCTCAATTTATGGTTAAATTGCCCAAATGTTGTAAATTGTCTCAGATTACAGTCAATACTTTATCTGGCGGATTGTTCCAGATACGTCATTACATTCCAAGAAATTTTTCTAGAAAATCAAGGTCTTAATTAGATATTAAAAAATGGAAAACAACTAAGCTTAGACTATTTATAGTATACACTGGACCAGTTGTTTAAAGGGAATGGTTTAGCCAAAAATCTATTCAATTTTTTAGATTTTTCATTTGTAGTTCTACTTTCATAATGTTTCATTTTGTTGAAAAAATATGTTAATTTTGCTTTTCAGCTACTTATTTTTATATGTGAACTTTATCATAAGGATCA